GCGCGGGAAATTTGAATTTACCGTGCGCGCTCGAAGCCGTTACGCGTGTCTAACGCATCTTCACGGTCCCCATCCCACGCCCTTGTCGCAAGTTGGCGCCGATCCTGCTTCTGGAAGAAGCACGTCGAGAAGCAGCACGAAGCTCCACTTATACCAAGTACACCGTATGAGATGGCTCCCCACTGTTCGTTCCCAAAAGACCTTCTTCCTAAGATCATTAGAGATGTTTCGATCGGCAGAGAGACAAGGAGGTCAAGTAGCTGTGGCCGGTGGCTTCTACTACTGACGTGGCTGCACGAGGGCTGCTTGGCGTCTCGTGAGGAATCCGCGCCGGAGGTTGTTTGCACTTGCATTTTGTATGTACATAGAATCCACGAGAGGCCTTCACTGCCTATTTTATTTGGCGCTCTCCAGTGGGAAACGATGGCGTCATATTGATGTATTTTTCTCGATTTCATACAATGTGGAAGAGATCAAACAATAGTAATATACAATAGTTGGTTGTGGGAGGATTATTAATATAAAAATCTCGGCGAGAATTCCGGCTGCGGAAAATAATTACGGTCGCATCTTCGCAGAGAACACGGCAGTAGAAGAAGTTCCACGCGGTCCTCGTCCCTCCACGTAGGCGACGGCCACGGACCATGGCGTCTCATGCTCTCTACCTTGTCCCTAGAGACAGCATGGAGCGCCCCGCCAAGGTCGTGACCATGGGCGAGTACGTCGTCGAGAAGAAGATTGGCAAGGGCTCGTATGCGCAGGTCTACCGCGGCTACCACCAGGTCACGCACGTCCCGGTTGCCGTCAAGGTCATCGACGGCTCCAAGCTCAACCCAAAGCTCCTCGACAACCTTGGCGTCGAGATCTCGATCATGCAGCAGATGAACCACCCAAACATTGTGCGCTTGTTCTCGATCACCAAGTCCAAGTCGTCCGTGCATCTCTTCATGGAGTACTGCGAGGGCGGCGACTTGTCCCAGTTTATGAAGCGCCAGCCACACGGCGTCGTCCCCGAGGCCTTGGCCCGGCACTTGATCCGCGAATTGGCCGACGGCCTCCACGCGCTCTGGCGACAGAACCTCATCCACCGCGACCTCAAGCCCCAGAACCTCCTCCTCGCCGACACCTCGCCGGTCCCGCGCCTCAAGATTGGTACGTCATGGCATGTTGAACGACACATCCGATACGATTATACATGTCCATGTAGCTGACTTTGGCTTTGCCCGGCACTTGGCCACGGCGTCGCTCGCGGAAACACTCTGCGGATCGCCGCTCTACATGGTGCACAAGGTCTTTTCTTGATTGCTCGGCCTAAACACGGCGTCTCTAGGCGCCCGAGATCATGCGCTTTCACAAGTATGACTCGAAGGCTGACCTTTGGTCGGTGGGCACCATCCTCTACGAGATGGTATCGATCGTCGCCGTGGAGCTGCTAGCTCATGACGATGCGGCGTAGATCTTTGGCCGCACGCCGTTTCATGGCGCTAGCCAAATGGAGCTCTTGCGCAATATTGAGCGGTACGAGCTGCGCTTCCCTGAGAACCACAACGTGCCACGCGACTGCATCGAACTCATGCAGGTAGTAGCTCATGGACTTGAGTAAGTTGTTGGCGGCTCACAAAGATATAGGGCTTGCTGCGGCGGGACCCGAGTCGACGCATGGGGTTTGAGGAGTTTTTTGCCCATCCGTACATTGGCAAGGAGTACGACATGACCAAGTCCATCGTGGTCCCACCGACAGCGTCGAGCCCACCTGCAGCGCCGTCCTCGACCGCACGAAGCGTGACCGCGCCTCTCGACATTCAGCGCCGCGTTCCCGAGGGTCTACCTACACATACGTCGCCGCCCACGGCCCTATTGCAGCCACTGAGCTTGGGGTCGTCGACGCGGTTGCAAGAGAGCTACCGATCGAGCGTCATGCAAAGCTATCGCCGACGAAGCGCATCGACGTCGCAGCACCGAGCAACGTCATCGATCCATCAGAACAGCCCGACGATGCCCATGAGCCCAGAGCTCGTCGCGTCGCCAACGCCCCGCATCAACCCGTTCAAGTCGAGTTTGTCGAGCACGCCGCCGACTAGCGCATTTGCGTTCACTGCGTCGTCGGCCCCATCGCTCTATTCCTCCAAACATTCGTCGGTCGCGGTCGTCCAGCGGGCCAAGCCCACGCCGGTCATCGAGTACACGTGCGACACGAGCCTCGACATAAGTTACCAGCGCATCCAAACCATGATGACAATCGCCGAGGCACTCTTGTCGCTGCCGGGAGTGGACACGACCGCGTCGTACACGTCGTCGGCGTCATCGTCGTCGTCGTCGACGCACTCGATCTCGTCGCCGACCGCGTCGAGCGATCTGGATGCCCACCCCGAAGCGCGGCGGCAGGCGAGCGCGCTGCAGTTGTACCTCATGTGCTTGCACTTTCTGCAGCATGCGTATGCGATTGCAGGGCGCAGTGTGTCGGCGCGTGCGTGGATCAACGACTGTCTCAACGTGTGTTTGGATCGCGCCGAGCAGTGCAAAAAATACTGTGGCCCGCTGCTTTTGGACGCGGCGCTGCCGAGCGGCGAAGACGTTTTGTACTACCACGCCATGCGCCTCGGCCGCGACGGCGCCGTCCAAGAGGTCCTGGGGCAATGGCCGCACGCGCTCGAGCTCTACGAACGCGCACGCGTCCTCCTCGACAGCATTTTGGCGTGGAACGAGCTCACAAAGAAGACTTCGTCGCTCTCGATGGACGACAAGCAGCGCATTGCCGTGTACGTCGATGGCTTTGCGCAGCGCATCCAGTGCGTCACCGCCAAGCAAGAACGCTAAATTCCCCAACTCACCCTAAAAACCACCACCGCGCTCTCGTTGGCGTTATCTAATACCATGCGTACCATACACCTCGTCGCCTATATGATGCAAGTCGCCCTTGGCGGCCACAACGCGACCGGTCGGCGCCGCTTCGGAGCGTGTCGATTCAAGATCGCGCGTAGCCAATCAGAGGCGCCGAGGTGTTTCGGTCGAAACGAAAAACCCCCGCCGACGGTTGAGAATAAAATTAGACGGAAAAATTTCAAATTCTCGGATTTTCATTGCTCAAGAAGCGACGCGAACGAGACGAGCATGGCCGACGCGCAGGTGAAGAAGCTCACGGACGAGATCGAGCGCCTCGAGGGCGACCTCAAGGCGCTCGAAGCCGCGTGCACGACGTCCGAGGCCGTCAAAAAGTACGTCCTCGCCTCGCCACGCGGTCCTCAACGGTATGTAGGATTGCCGAATTTTGCAACACGACGCCCGACCCGTTCCTTGGCGACAACGAGACGCCGAATCAGTGGCAGGCCAACGCACAAGGCGGCGGCGGTTGCGTCATACAGTGAAGCGCGTACACGCCCGACCCGCTCTCCTCGACCCTCCATGGTGCATGCCGATTAATGCTGTAGAAATATATTAAATTACTGTCTCGTCGCGCTTGCGGATCTGCAGCTTCGGCCTTATGCAGTCGACTCGACGAGACAAGTGCGAGCGCGGCAACGTGGCCAAGCGACGTATAACACATGGCGGTCGATTAAAAATGATGCTATTTAGTCTATCTACTTTTTCTTGGCGTTCAAAAACGCGTCGCCCTTCTTGCCTTCAAAGCCGGCGCGGTTGCCGGCCGGCTTGGACGCCTTGATCTTCTCGGCGCGGGCTTCGGCGGCCGCGGAACGCAGTTGCTTCTTGCCCGCACGCGCGTTCGAGGCCTTGGTCTTTGCGCGCTCCTTGATGCCCTTCTTCTCTGTTGACACGCGTTGTTTCCACTCCTTGGAGCTCTTTTCCTTTTGCTTGAGCTTCTTCTTGAGCTTGTTGCGGAGGAGCTTCGGGTCGTCCATGACCTTGTCGCCCGACGCCTGCTTGAGCGCCTTCTCCCAGCCCTTGGCCTGCACGACCGCACGGCCCTCTTCCGTCTTCTTGAGCTCCTCCATGCGCGCCTTGTTGTTCTCGGCCTTCTTCAAAAGGTTCTTGATGCCATGGATGCTGCGGCCGTTCCGCGTCTTCTTCTCTTCCTTCTTTTCTTGGCCGAGGAGCAAGCTGCCGTACGAGATACCGTCGCCCGAGACGTCAGGCAAGGGCGCCGCCGCCGCCTCCTCGCTGGCCGAAGCCTTCGACTTCTTGTGACCGCTCTTGTCTTGGTTGCCCGTCGGCGCCTTGCGCTTCTTGGACTTGTCTATAGGATGCAGAAGTTAGCGTCAGGCGGTTCCGAGGCTCCTCGTACCAGCATCAACCGGCGCAGGCGCCGCCTTGTCCTTCTTCGTCACCTTGTGCTCCTTGGTCGTCTGGCGCTTGGCGCGCATGGTTTCAAGGCGGCGCGCGAGGCGCTTCCGGAGCCCGTCGAGGCCCGTGAGCTCGCCTTCGTCGTCCGAGGCCTCGGCCTTGGCAGTCTCCTTCTCCTTTTCGTGGAGCTGCGTCTCTTGGTTCGTGAGCTGGAGCTTGGGGTTGAACTTGAGGCGCTTTGCGACCGGCTTGGCGGTCTCGTCCTCGGCGTCGGCCTCGAGCGCCGCAATCTGCTGGGCCTTGACGCCCTTGTGGTACTTCTTGTTCATGCTCTGCTTGAAGTTGTCTTCCGGCTCGGTCGGGAAGTACTGCGCGCTCGGGATGAGCTCCATGACGTTGCAGAAGAAGCGGTCCACGACGCCATAGTCCATCGTCGTCGTCGTCGTCATGTTGGTCTGCTCCACTACTACTAAATTGCAGCGTCGTATCCGGAAGCTCTATTGATTGGTGGTGAAGATGAGGGACCAATCGCCAAACGGGCCAATCGCAGCCGCGATGCTTTCCGCGCATTTGATTGGCTCGAAGGATACCGTGTGAGCCAATGAAACGTCGAGAAATGCGAAAAGGGCGCGGCCACGGCCAAGGTGCACATTTGAAGCGACAAAGTCAACCGGCTTCGTTTCCAATTAAGACGCGTGTGGTGGCGCGATAAGCGCCTTGACCGTGTTGCAGTTCCAGCCCTTGCTCTGGAGCTCAAAGAGCTGCTCTTGGAGGATCGCCGTGAGCTCAATCGTGCCTTTGAGAATCATGCGCAGCCCCGACTGCGTCTCCTTCTTGGGGTGGAGGCGAATCGCAGGCGTCTTGGCCGGCAACGCATCGTCGAACGGGGCCGAGTCCTTGGTCTTGGCGGCCCACAGCGCCGTCATGCGCTCAAATTCACGAAGTAGATACGATGTCGTTCGGTCGTCTTTGGACTCGGACACGCAATCGTAGTATAGAAAAGGATATCAAAAGTGTCGATGCTCAACAGGCGCTCTGGCACGTTCTCTTCGATGACGCGCACGACGACGAAATCTTCGCGGTTCTAGCCATGCCACTTCTCCATCGAACACGATTTTGTGGTCGGAACTCGCACCTTGGCCATGTAGTAGGTCTTCTTGGAGCCCTGGCGTCGCATGAGCTTGTTGGCTTGCGTCTACGGGCACATAATCGTATATCACTCGCATCTCAAATGTGGCAATTTGTCTTTATCGTACGATCTTGACTGCCACTTTTCGCTCTTGGTCGATCTTTTCTTGAAAAAGCTCAATCTACAACACAAAGTGGGATGCAAACGGCAAAAATGCGACGACGGTCGTACAGCAAAGTCCCGCTCTTTCTCCTTCTTTTTGTCGGCGGCGCGACGCAAGTACGTCTTGGACGTCGTCGATGTCTTCTACGTCCAAAGACTTCGTCAATGCCTCCAATGAAGCAATCTTGTACGACTGCAACTGTGCGGTGCGGTGCCGAGACGGGGCGATCTCGGCTCTCGAGATCACGAAAGCGAGCATGTGCCTCGACAGCTACCAGAATCCCGAGTCGTTTGGACAATGACGATCGATATGTACGTGGACGGGACGAGACGCGCGCGGGTTTCGCGCTCTCGGGACGCGGTGGCAGCGTCTGCAACGTGATGCCATGGATCGTCTCGATGAGCAGCGGCGGCTGTGCCGACTATAGGGCCATGAGTGCTGCCATCGCCCCGTACGTGTTGACACACCTCGTGCGAGACGTATCGCTTTGGGGGCGCCGAGATCGGGCGATAATTGGCTAGTACATTTAAGATCACACAGCGTCGTCGTGTCGATCGCGAGAACCTCCGCTCGGTTTCGACCCATAGAATCCTTCGGTTGGCATCATCATGTCAATGGCATTCTCTTCGGAGGTGTCCTAGTCGCATGCTCTTATATTACGATCCGTGTTTACACGCAGCAGTATTCTACATACCTCTTGAATCGGGCTCCCGTCGTCGTCGTCGTGCTGCTGCATTTTCGCTCAGTCGCAAAACGCCTTTGTGGCTAAATTTACGCGCCCAAATTAGACAGGCGTGTCATTTTTGGCTTTGGATGGCGACAGGACCGGTGCTCTACGCGGCGCTGCTCGGGCTCTCGGGCTACATGCCGCTTGCGATCCTCGTATACTTGCGTCGGCGCGGGTACCCGTCAATCCGGTTTGGCAACCCGGTGCAAACCGCGCTCTGCAGCTCGCTCGCGACGCTTGTCTCGATCGGAATGCTCGTGCTCTTGCTGCTCCGAGACTCGATCTCGTGCGCTGTTCTCGTCGGCTTTGAGTACTTTAGCGTCAACGCGACGCTCATTGCGCTCCTCGTGACCGAGCTCAGCATCGTGCTCACGTTTGAGCTCACGGAAGAGATCGCCGACCACCACGACTACAGCACGGAATCCGCGACCAAGCTCTCGCAACAACGCATCAAGGTCCTCCGCGCGATGTTGTCGCTGCGCGGCCTCGGTCTCCTCTGGGGTGTCGCGCACATTCTCTGGCTCGGGCTCCCGATCGCGATTGTCGGCCCCGAAGCGCTCGCATCCCTCCCGTCCCCAAACGCGACCGTGACCGACTGCTTTGCGCCCGTGGGCGGGGACGTCTCGCCGCTCGCCATCGTTTCGTTTGTGCACGCAAGCCTCTTCATCGCGACGTACGCGCTTCTCTCGTACTTTTTAGCGCGCGTCATGGACAACTTTGGGCTTTGCTTTCGGTACCGGCTCATGGGCGGGCTCCTCGCCCTCGTCTTTCTTGGGTACGCTGTCTGCGTTGCACTCGAAGCCAACGCGGACCTCCAAGCGGTCGGCGCGCGCTACATTCTGCTGAGCCTCGGCGGCCACGCGGTCGTGTTGGCGCAGATCGTGTTCCCGATATTCGCATCGCGCTCCGAGCGCATTTACGAAGACGGCGCGATGGTCCTGCACACGACCAAGATGAACCTCCTCGAGACGTACCTCGAGACGGCAGAGGGGTACCGCGCGTTTGCCGAGTTTGCACGCATCCAGTTCAGCTACGAGAATGCGGTCGCGTGGAAGGCGTGTGCTGATTTCAAAAAGGGCGGCGGCGACTCGCACGCGATCTACAACACGTACATCAAGGCGCAGTCGGTGCTCGAGACTAACATTCCAGGCACGCTACGCAAGTACTACTTTGACATCTTTGAGAAGAGCCGCAAGGGCCACAAGGTGCTCGGGTACCACACGGCGCTCGACAAGGACTTTGGCGTCTTTGATAAGTTTCGAGACGCCATTCTCAAGCTCATGGTGCTCGACACGCTGCCGCGCTTTCAAAACCACGCGCTTGGAAAAGGCTGGAGCCCGTTTGTCGAGACGCAAGAGAGCCACTTTGTGCTCAACCACCTCATGGACGCGATCGAGCAGCCGAAAAACCTCGTCGTACCCTTTGATGGCCAAGTGCAAACGGTCGTCGACCGCGTGCGTCGGGTGTCGTCGTCGCCGTCGGGCAAAGCCAGGAAAGAGTTTCTCCCGGACCGAAGAGAATCATAGCTTCCTAGTCTTTTCTATACAGTACAATAGTCGATCTTTCACACATAATAGCATTTTCGCCTTGGCCACACTCTTGTCAATTGGTATGTACTACAAACTAGACGAAGCGTGTGTTGTCTTGTGTCGACACGACTACCAGTACGAGCTCCAGTAAGAGTTGCGTGGAGCCGAGTAGGAATTACGGGTGCATAAAGTACGAATTAGCGCGCAACGCGGCCCTGTCGTATCCGGAAAAGTCGGCGGTTGCCGCGATCGAATACGCTCAACATTTGTATCGCGATCTAACGTGGTCGGTTTCCATCCGGATACGCAAGATCCAAATGGTGGCTGGAACGTCGCGCTTACTTTAGCTTTGTCCAAGTCACGAGTATGCCGCGAGAGAGTTATACGCCCGAAGACATTTTGGACCTCGAGACGCCGACCAAGTGTATGCGCTTCATTCTTATTGCATGGATCTTATAGGCTGCGTATGGACTAGCGTTTCTGTGCCCGATGAGCGCCAACGTCTACGGCATTGACTTTCTCAAGTTCCAGATCATCGACTACGACACGAAGCGCAAGATCTTCCAGGTAGAGTCTCGATGGTGAAATCGCTGGCTATCGACGTGGCGCCAGGTCGGCCGCGACTGTCCGCCGCGTGCAGCGGCCAAAATGGATTTTTCGCAGCCACTGGACGAAGATTCGTTTCGGAAGATTCGGTACGAGTTTTCGGAAGACGTATTGCGGCTGCCGTCGATCATGACGTCGCTCGAGTTTTGCGTCGGGCCCAAGGAGGTGCACAACTTCCGCATGATCGAGCGCCACTACTTCCGGGACGAGCTCGTCAAGTCGTATGACTTTACCTTTGGCTTTTGCATCCCGAGCTCGACCAACACGTGGGATGCCATCTACTCGGTGCCATCGCTCGACGAAGACCTCATTCAAGACATGGTCGCAAACCCTTATGCGACGGTCTCGGACAGCTTTTACTTTGTCGGCGACGAGCTCATCATGCACAACAAAGCCGAGTACAAGTACATCATCGAAGACCGCGCGCAGTCCAAGCGCTCGTACTACGACAGCGACGACGACGATGCGAAGGATGCGAAAGGCGCCAAGGCCGGCGACGCCAAGCGCGCGAGCGCCAAAGAGACCAAGTGGTCAAAGGAGGACGACTACGACGCGTAGAAACAACTCGGCGCGATATACTAACGATAGCATTAAGAACGAGTGCTTAATCGACGTCGTCACTTGTCGCGTCGAGCGACTGGTCGAGGACGCAATGCGTGCACTTGCAGGCGAGGCCAAAGCGCGCGAGCAACGACGCGCGTTTCGCCGCGCGCATGGCGGGCGTCGCGCACTCGTCGTTGTCGTCCGTCGCGTCGTACATGGTGCAGATCTCGTCGCCGGCTGCAATGTCGCGCCGCGCGTAGAGCTTCCGGAAGGGCCCGGCCTCGCGCTTGACGCGGGCGTTGGGCACACACGCGTGGTTGATGAGCGACATGATCGGGCCATGGGAGGCCAAGACGTCGTCGCCGTTACTCGCTGTGAGCGTGTACCCGAGTTGCGTCAGCGCATTCTGGCGCGCGAGCTCTTGCTTGGTCACAAACTGGGCTTTCTCGACGAGGATGAGGTCGCCGGCGCGGAAGGCCTTGGTGGCGACGAGGCCGTTGCCGCAGTGCGCCGTGCGCTGCATGTCGACGCTCGGGTTGGACGCGGCGAGGCAGACCGGCTTGTGCGCCTTCCATATCTTGCGCTGGCAGACGCCATCGCAAAAGTACGCGAGCTTGCACTGGCCGCAGAGGCGAAGCGACGGACTCTGGCGGTGGCAGGCCAAGCACACGGCCGCGGATGCCATTATTGTATTCGGCTTTGGGTGGTTTTCCACGAACCGGCACTCGTACCCGACACAAATGCCACCAGCTGGTTGGCCGCATGCAATAGTTGGGCGCACGTGCAATGCGCGATGCGGCGTCTTGACGCAGGCGGCAGCATACAGTAGACATGGCAGCATACAACGGGCACGCGTTGATGGCGTCCTCGAAGCGGTTTGACTGTCGCTTATGAAATGTCTTTGGGTGGTCCGCCGACCACAACGACCGCTGGTGCCATGCAGTGCATGTATAGCACTATTACCAGAGAGCCCCAGCACTAGAGAGTGCCAGAGACGCCGGCTGCGACGCACCAGTCTATGCACCTCGAGGCAACGGGCGGCGTGAAAGGGATCAACATACCGTCAACTGGGTTTCCTAGCCGATGCGCCGGGTAAAATTGGAAGCGGGACTCGGCAATCTTCAAGGGGCGCGTCGAACCGGCGACAAGCGAGACGACGGTAAGCAGAAGAGCTCTATGCACGCATAAAGCACAGCAAGAATGAGAGACGACGATATACAGCTGCGCCCTTCCTTATCGCCTCGTCGCCCGCGCGGCGCCGCCATCATCGACAACCAAGGCGACGTCGACGGCCAAAGTAGTAGTCCCGCGTCGTCGTCGATTGCCGCCCTCGACGAGAAGCAGCCGCACATGCTCTTGCGCCTCGGTCGCATCCGCGAAGCGCCCAAAGGCGCCGCCCACGCCTTGGCCATCACGCCCAAGGCACCGACCCGGCCGCGTGGCAATTCGCTCGACAGCGCCAAGCCCGAACTTGAGCACGACGACGCGTCGGCCATCGTCGCCCACGAGCGGCAACGGCACGGCCATCCGCTGTGCGTATCGAGTGGCACGGCGGCGCCCGCGCTCACCGCGTCGCTCTCCCCGCTCGCGCTCCTCTCGCCGTTTACGACCAAGCTCGACCTCCAGCTCTCCAAGTCGCCCGTCTTCCGCAAGACGCCGTTGCCGTGGCACAAGTCGCGCATTCAGTGGAAGAAGGGCGAGCTCATTGGCGAAGGCACGTTCGGCAAGGTGTACAAGGGCCTCAATAGCAAGACGGGCGAGCTCTTTGCCGTCAAAGCCATCGACCTCTCGGGCGACGACGACAAGAAGAAATTAGCCAAACTCGGCGAAGAGATTGCCGTCATGAAGGACCTCCAGCACGTGCACATTGTGCGCTACCAAGGCACGGACCGCGACGAGCTGCATTTCTACATCTTTATGGAGTACGTCCCGAACGGCTCGATTGCGAGGTATGTTGAGCGCTAGCCAGCCCTAAGTCTCATTTTGCGTAGCATGCTCGCGCAGTTTGGCGTCTTTGGCGTCGAAATGATTCAAAAATTCACGCGTCAGATCCTCGAGGGCGTCGCGTACCTTCACAGCAAAGGCATCATCCACCGCGACATCAAAGGTCCGTGCTCCAGCGTTGCCGACGCTTGCCAAGCCTTTGACTAGGCGCCAACGTACTCGTCAACGAGCACGGGCAAGCCAAGCTCGCCGACTTTGGCTGCTCCAAGCAAGTGCCATCGACAACGACGACCGACAGCCTCGAAGAGAGCTTGCGCTCGATCCGCGGGTCGGTTCCATGGATGGCGCCCGAAGGTAGACATCGATCGTCGTCGGCAGGTCAACATGTATCGGCCTAGTCGTTCAGCAAACGGGCCACGATTGCAAGGCAGATATATGGAGCGTCGGTGCGACCGTGCTCGAGATGGCGACCGCGCACCACCCGTGGCCCGCGAATACGAACCACTTGTCGGTCATGTACCACTTGGCGGTCAAGCCGTCGAGTCCGCCGATCCCGATCGATTTGCCGCCATTGGCAAAAGCCTTTCTGGCGCGCTGTTTCTGCATTGATGCGCGCGGTCCTCTCGCTACGGCCATGAGAACGGGATATTTGGCTCATGCGCGTGCTGGTGTAGAGCGCGCGACGGCGACCGAGCTGCTCGCCCATCCCTTCCTGCGCTGACCGGCGGCGCAGATGATGATTTAACTTAAACAGCGGCCACTTAGTATAGCTATGCATATACACAACGACGACTGTACGTATGGAACGGTGTTGTTGTTGTTGGGGAAGGGGTAGGGTTACGCACCGACGACCAAGTACAGTACTAAAGACGGTTGACGTCTGGTTCAATTTTCAAAGTACTACACTTGGTGTGGTGGTAGTCGTCGCGTTGACTGCGACGAGTTAGTATGCGCTTCGTACCTGACTCGATGCTTGAGCGAGTGCTATGCGAGCTATGCGTCCGTGTCTTTGGGATGGCAAGTTGCGTGCGTTCAGACAATCGACGAATTTCGATCGCATTCTCGAACGGTCCAACACTCAAAACGAGCTCAATTGAGTTTGCCATTGCTTCAACCCGATAATCTTTCAGATTCAAAGTGGCCGCAGAACGCAAAGACGTACGTTGCGCACGATGCTGTCGACACGACTCCTTGCCCGCCGACTTGTGCCGATGCACCGCCATGGCGTCGTCTACCGAGGCCTCGCCTCGTGGGTGAACCCGGAGAACGTGCCGCAGGGCGAGAGCCTCGCCAAGTACGGCCGCGACCTCACCGTCATGGCCCGCGACGGCAAGCTGGACCCGGTCATTGGCCGCGAAGACGAGATCCGCCGCGCGGTGCAGGTGCTCTCGCGCCGGACCAAGAACAACCCGGTCTTGATCGGCGAGCCTGGTGTTGGCAAGACCGCGATCGCCGAGGGCCTCGCGCAGCGCATTGCGTCGGGCGAGGTGCCTGAAAGCATGAAGAAGAAGAGCGTTGTCGCACTCGACTTGGCTGCGCTTGTCGCTGGCGCCAAGTTCCGCGGCGAGTTTGAAGAGCGTCTCAAGGGCGTGCTCAAGGACGTCGAAGGCAGCAACGGCGACGTCATCTTGTTCATTGACGAACTGCACATGCTCATGGGCGCGGGTGGCGGCGACGGCACGATGGACGCGGCCAACATGCTCAAGCCCGCGCTCGCTCGCGGGTCGCTGCACTGCATGGGCGCCACAACGCTCGACGAATACCGTACGAAACCTATCTTATTTCATGCTGTGGCGAATCTGCATTTTGGCTGTAGGCAAGTACATTGAGAAGGATGCGGCGCTGGCTCGCCGGTTCCAGTCGGTGCTCGTGGTCGAGCCGTCGGTCGAAGCGACCGTCACGATCCTGCGAGGCCTCAAGGAAAAATACGAAGTGCACCACGGCGTCCGCATCGCCGACAACGCGCTCGTGCAGGCCGCACAACTCGCTCATCGGTGCGTTCTTCCTCCGCGTCTTGTCTGACTCTAGGCGAAGGTACATTGCGGATCGCAAGATGCCCGACAAGGCCATCGATTTGGTCGACGAGGCGGCGTCGCGCCTGCGCCTTGAGCAAGAGTCCAAGCCCGAAGCCATCGAGCACCTCGAGCGCCGCATCATCATGCGCAAGATCGAGAAGGAAGCGTTGCGCCATGAAGACGACGCGGCGTCGATCAAGCAAAAAGCGATCGTCGACGCCGACCTCGTCGCGATGGAAGCGGAGCTCCGCGAGCTCACGACCGAGTGGCAAGAAGAAAAGACGCGTCTCGAGAGCCTCAAGTCGACCAAGAAGCGGCTCGAGGAAGCCCGGCGCGAGCTCGAAATGGCCCAGCGCCGCGGTGACTTTGCCCGCGCCGGCGAGCTCAAGCACGGTGTCATCCCGCGCCTCGAAGCCGAGTCGGAGGCCGACGACGTGGCCGAGGCGTCACCGTCCAATCCCAAGCTCCTGCTTGGTGACGCTGTCACGTCCGACCACATTGCCGCCGTGGTGGCCAAAGCCACGGGCATTCCAGTCTCGAACCTCTTGTCAGGAGAGAAGAAGCGGCTCCTCGAGATGGAAGCGTCGCTCAGCGCCCGCGTCGTCGGCCAAGACGACGCAGTGACTGCGGTCAGCGACTGCATTCGACTCGCGCGCGCCGGGCTTCACTCGCACACGCGGCCACTCGGCGTCTTCCTCTTCCTCGGGCCCACGGGTGTCGGCAAGACGGAGCTCACGAAGGCGCTGGTCGAGTTTCTCTTCCAGGACCCGTCAGCACTCACGCGCATCGACATGTCCGAGTACATGGAGAAGCACTCGGTGTCGCGGCTCATTGGTGCGCCACCGGGCTACGTCGGGTACGAGGAAGGCGGCACGCTCACGGAAGCTGTGCGCCGGCGTCCGTACCAAGTGGTGCTCTTTGATGAATTTGAGAAAGCCCATCGCGACGTATCGAACCTGCTCCTGCAAGTGTTTGACGAAGGCCGCCTCACCGACTCGCAAGGACGCCTTGTCGACTTCCGCAACACGGTCATCATTTGCACGAGCAACCTCGGCTCGGACGTGCTTGCGACCTTGCCCGAGGTACGTAGCCTATTCCGGAGGCTGCTGAGTTGAGGCGAGTAGGGCGCGCCGAGTGTCGACGCGGAAGCCGACGTGCTCCATGTGGTCCGTCAGCACTACGCCCCCGAGTTTTTGAATCGCATTGACGAGAGTGTTCTCTTCAACCGGCTAGGCCGAAGCCAGATTCGGTCGATTGTCGACTTGCAGCTCAACGACGTCCGCGCGCTCTTGGACGAACGCGAGCTCGAGCTCCATGTCTCGGACGACGCCAAGCAGTGGCTCGCAGACGAAGGGTACAGCCCCATGTACGGCGCCCGCCCGCTCAAGCGCGTGATCCACAAGCAGCTGCTCACGCCGCTCTCGAAGCGCATCTTGGTCGGCAGCTACAAGGCCGGTGACACGGTCCGCGTCACGACCAAGCCGGCGGGGGATTCGCGCGCCAAGGAGCTTGTGTTTGAGTAGAAACAATATATGGACGCATTGGATAGTGGATCGGCGCTCTTATATCCCGTATCCCGATGTGGAGAGAGTCGTTCGGGGTGTTGGATCGATACTATCTATCCTATATGACCATAGTCGGCTCGGATAGTTCGCGTAGTCGCCATCAGTAAACGTTGACGTGACTGTCGTCGGATCGTGGGCGGCATGCGACGCAGTGTTGCGGAAGCGAGTCGTTGGACAACGATTAGCTGCGGATATTAGTCGTCTCTCATGATACACTATCTGCCCGACGATCACCATGCTCATCTCTCTCCCATGGTCTCTGACCCGCAGCCTCCAGACGATCGAGTCCAGTTGCCAGCGACGAAACAAGAAGAGTTTTACGAGATGCTTCAAGCTGCTGGCAGCCTGGGAATGCACTGGAGCGAGAGCGTCGTGTACTTTTAGCCCGCTACGACTACGGACTGCAATGCCCCAATACTTGGCTCTACCCGAATCCATGGCAATCATCATGACGCATGGGTCGTTGCCGGGCTTGTCGCAAGCTCGCAGAGCCACTCGGCCCTTCCTGCCAGCTGGGCAAAGGCGCGCCAAATCTCGAAATTTGAATTTTGGGCCGCAGCCAGTGTCCGGATAGCGTCCGGTTGGGCCGATCGAAGAATTCAAATTTACGTATTCCGCAACTCGCGACCGATGGCCGACCCGACCGAGACGCCGGCGATCGAGGACGTGCTAGGGCCCGCGGTCTGGGCAGCGTGCAAAGCCGACCAGCGCCATGTGCTCGAGGGCTGGCTGCGCAAGAACGCCGTCTCGGACGTGCACACGACGGCGACCAAGCTCGAGCCGTCGGCGGCGCTCGCCAAGGCGCTCGAGCTCGACGCGCGTTACGTCCGCGCGCTAACGCCGCAGCAGCTCGTGTTTGCGTACCTCAACTACCTCCGCAGCATCTTCAAGATGCCCGAGACGACGCCTGCCGAGCCAACGCCGGCGCCGGCGAACGTGCCACATGCCAAGAAGCGCATCGCGCTGCAGCAAAAAGAGACACCGGTCTGGTCCAACAACGACTTTCCACCGCTTGGGACTGCTACCGTGCACATCATGGCGTCCAAGCCCAAGGTGCAAAAGGACAAGCGGCGCATTCGTTCGACGCTCGTGTCGACGCCGTCGCTTGTCTCGACACCCTCGTCGTCGTCGTCGTCGATCTTTACGTCGGCGCCCGTTGAGAAGGCGCGCCTCCCGTCGCAAATGAACACCGATCTCTTGTCCAAATTCGAGACGCGTCTGACCAGCGTCACGCACGACACGCCCAAGCAAGCGCCAAACCTGGAGATCCAAGACCCGCTGCCGCACGACCACTCTGCTGCATCCACCTCCAACAACACCGCCACCAACACCTCCAACAACAACGCCGAGGAGGTGCCCGAGACGGTCGACGAACCCGCCGAGGAGCTTGAGCCAATGGTCGCGCCGACGCCGATGGCGCTCTTCTACAGCTTCCTCTTCCAAGCACAGCTCGTACCGCAGTCAGCCCACGAAGTCCAATGGCTCTTTACGCTGCTGAGCCACGAAGCCTCGTCGGACGCCAAGGAGTTTGCGCTCGCCGTGCTCTACACGATCCCCGAGACGCTCGAGCTCTTTGGGCCCGAGATTCTCAAGCTCGCTGTCGACACGTTTGCGTCGCTGCACGTGGCACGGTCGCTCCAAATCCGGTTCCTTCGATACCTCGAGGCGTACGAAGAGGCGCGGTCGGTTGAGAGCCAAGCGGTGGGCACGACCTTGCCGATCGAGGTCGTCGGCCACTCGGCGAGAGACTTTGCCGTCCCGTTTTGCGAAGACACGGACTCGCGCTTGCACTTTCGGTCGCCGGCCGAAGCCGTGCTCTTTAGCAACCGGGAGAAGGCGCGCGATGCGTTCCTATCGCTTCTGCGGCAATGGCAGAGCCAGCGGCAGTCACTCGAAGCTTGCCCCGTAACGTCGCTGCACAACGAGATGGCGTCGGTGCTCGACGACGTGAGCGCCGACAACCTCTGGTGGTTTGCGCAGTTCTTTGTGCAAGAGCTGTGTCAAGTCGGCATCAACCCCATCGGCGAGCACGACAGTGACCTCGTGGAGAAGATCATGCACGATGACAAGCTCAAGAACCCGGATCGGCTGCGCAAGCTGCACCAGCGCTTCACGTCCCAGCAAGCACCGCCGCCCAAGACGAAGCTCGGCCCGTCGGCCCACAGCACCAAGTTTGCAACAGCGCCCAACAAGGTGCATGTGTCGTCGGCCGTAGCGTCGACGACGACTGTCACCGCCTCAAGCGACATGGCCGAGCTCTTCCCTGAGAACCAGCTCTTCTTTGCGCAGTTTCTCGAAACCACCAACCACGCCGTCTTCACAAAGCTTGTCGCGACCGTCCTCGAAGCCCAGCTCTTTGAACTCGCGGGGCCGTGGGCAACGGCCACGGCGTCGTCGATCCGCAAGACGTTCACGCTGCAGACGCTCCAAGCCCGCCTTCTCGCGCGGTTCCTCGCGTACCTGCATGTCGCACCGTACGCCACGAGCCTCGGGTCGCCCACCAACGCCGCGATCGAGCGCGCCCGGAAGCAAGCAATCGCGATGCGCAACCGCGTCCGCGCACCGCTTGACGTGCTTGCAGCGCTGCGCCAATGTGTGGCCGAGCACACGCTCATGGCGTCGCTGCCATGGATGCTCGAGTACCTCCGGCTCGTGATTCTGCGCGACCCAATTGCGTGCGCCACGAGGTATGTGCAGTCGACGGTCGCCCATCTCCGGTCGGTCTTCTTCTCGCCGCGTCTCGAAGGCTGTCGGTCGGAGAACGGGCTCCTGCTTCGGCTGCAGCTCGAGGCATTTTTGCAGGCCACGACCGCGCGCCCGAGTCTGCAGCCCTCGGTATTGGACAGCCTGGCGCTCGACGAGACGTTTACCGCAGCGCTGGACGCCCCTGTCGCCGGTCTCGACGCTGTCCCGTACCTAGCGAGCGCGATGTTTGTGGCCCACTGCATCCCCGATGTCCCGTCCCTCCGCGCGTTTCTCCTTCACCTCCAAGCAACTCTGAACCAGGGCCCGGCCAAGCCAACGACGACGCGCCGCCTCAAGGTCCGCCCGCTCACGCTCTCGCTGCTCAAGACGGTCGAGGACGACGACGACCAGGACCACGACGCGACGCCGCCGTCGTCTCTTGCAGACGACCCGCTCACAAGGGCGTTTTACAAGCAGTACCCGTCGCTCCAGTCCACGGTCGAGTTTGTGGTCGACACGACCATGCGCAACGTGTGCCAGCTCGTGGGCCCGAGCGTCGTGCTGCCGTCGGCCAACGCCTTTATGGACACGATCGCGCTGCGCTTGACGGCCAACGAGAGCACCGCTGAGAAGATCACGGCGGTTGTCCGGCGCTATGTCGGCCAAGCCAAGGTCGATGCGTGCGACAAGGCGATCGCGGCCGCCGAGCCGTACTGCCAACAACACATCCCGCGCGTGCTCGAGTCGCTCCTCTCGCCGACGATGGATCCTCGTGTGAAAGCGATGGCCGTCTCGCTGGCGACGCAAAAGGCCCTTGGCAGCGTCCGGTCCGTCGTCGCGGCGTCCATGGGCATCGAGTTCAGCAAGCAAGTCGTCCAGCGCGTGCGCAAGATGGCCAAGCCGGCGCCCGCAGCGCCAGACACCGCGCCATCGCTCCTCGACGCTCTGCACGCGGCGGCTAAAGACGCGGCTAGTAGTGCGCCTTGCCTCGACCACTTTACGCGGCTCCTCGAGCTTGTGCGGGCCACGGAGACAACGAGCAGCGTATGGTGCTGCGTGGCGTCCGTCCTGCACGACGAGCGTGTGTGGCAGCTCGAGGCGTCGGCAGCCCAGACAGCTCTACTGCGGCACGCGTTGAGCAACCATGCGTGGCAGCCCCGGGCCATGGCGCTCCTCGACCCGCTCGTGCACATGTGGCTGCGGTCCGAGCACGCGGGGCGCCAGCACCTCGAGACGCTCTGCGATGCCTTCCCCGAGCTGCAACCGCGCGTTTGCGCGATTGTCGGTGCGGCCACCGCTCCCATCCAAGAACCCGCCAGCGCGATTTTGTCTTGGCGAGGCGCCGCGCCCCGGGCCGTGCCGTGCTAGCGCCGCCCGCTATTTAGTGCATCTCTATTTTATTCGACTAATCACCATGTATTCTACTGACTTGACCAGAGAGAGATGACGGACTAGGGTATCCTCGCAGATGAGACTGGTTGAGGATCAGGGTCCAGTTGTCCGCAGACGAGACTGGTCGAGGATCAGGGTCCAGATGGAGTGTGGGAGGCTTGTGAATTTGGTGCCCCGGGGTCCGGGGTTTGCATTTTGATTCTCATATGTGAATTTGGTGCCCCGGGGTCCGGGTTTGCATTTTCATTTTCATTTTTTTCAATTTTTTTGCAGACAGGCGATTGCACTTGGCGAGATGCTTGAGCTGCCGGTGCCCAACAAGTTCTTCCCGCCCGTGCACCTCGACGATGCGGACGAGCTGCACCTGCGGCGCCTCGCCAAGGACAAGCTCCGGCTCATGACGGACCTTCTCCACGGCCAGCAGACGCAAACGCTCAGCTGGACGCCATGCGAGGTACTGCTGTCAGTTTGCTCATCCGCCGCCGACAGGTTCGTGTAGGGCCAAACCGCCGACGGCTGCCACGTCCTCAAGGCGCATTTTGTGGACCTCGAGGCCAACTCGCAGCGCGCGCACGCGTGTGTCCTCTACCGCGCGTCGGTCGTGCTCACAGCGAGCGTGCCCGAGGTCATGTCGGTGCTCGCCGTCCCCAAGACGGACGACTATCGGCGCATGATGAAGAGCGTGTATGGCCACGATTTTCTCGACGGCTACGTGCTCCACACGCTGCCGCGCAAGAAGCTCCATCGCCCGACCTACTTTTACACGAGCTTGAAATGGTGTGCGCTGGCCGCGCGCAACGCGGTGGGCGGCCGCGGCAGCGACTTTTGCTTCCTCGAGTACGCAGGGATTCGCAAAGAGAGTGCGACGTCGCTCCTCGGCTTTTGCATCCAGCAGTCGGTCGCCATGGACGGCGAAGTCCCCGACTTTGGCTCGTATGGGCTCACGCGTGATGCGTTCCTTCGGACCGGTATCCTCGTCACGCCGACGGACCGCGACGGGCACGTCCGCGTCACGTCGTTTTGCCAAGTGCAAAGCGCAACTCTCGCCGGTGCGAGCGGCAGTGCCGACTACGAAGACGTCATGCGCCGGCGGGTATGCTGTGCCACGACCGGTGCCGTAAAATTCATACAAATGACTACTAGGTCGCAGCGATTCGAGGTCTCCAGAGCTACTTGGAGCGGGGTCGGCTCGGGAAGCTGCCGTTCGTCGAGCGCTGGCGCTGGGTGCGCGACGAAGATCGCAAGACGTGCAGCGTCTGCGTGCGCAACTTTACGTTTCGGCGCCGGCACCACTGCCGCCAGTGCGGCGAAGGTACCTTTGGTGTGACATAGGACCATGGACGATAAGGCTGTAGTGGTTTGCTCGGGCTGTGCGCCGTACCGGGAAGTCGAGACGCCGACCGCCGGACCCAACCGCGTCCGCATTTGCAACGTTTGCTTCGCCCGCGCCCACGGCATCGTGCACCGACCGCTCTCCGACTCGGTGCTCGAGTCGTCTGTCTACACGGACGACGGCGCGTCGTTCTCGCTGCCGCCCGTGACACCACAGCGGCTGGCATACCGGCGGTCGTCAACTTCAACGGTGCGGTCGCCCGTCACGCGACGGACGCGGTCGCAGCGCTCTGCGTCCATGGGTGACCTCGACGACGACGACGACGACGATGACGATCCAGCAGTGCCCGTGCGCCGCCTCGCCCACCCGCGTCCGCTGCGCGATACGTTCGAGGTAGACTGCTGCCTTCCACTTCAACCGACGATCTCATGCTTTTAGCGCGCCGAGCCACCGTCGCTCGAACACGCCATGGCCGAGATTACGCAGCGCATCAAGGCGACGCAGCTCGCAATCCTATCGAGCGTCTCGAGCCGCGAGCGCGAGATGCAGCGGTGGCCGGCCATGCCGCCGGTACCGTCGCCAGCCTCGTCGTCGTCGTCGTCATCGTCCGAGCCGGCGCCCGAGGCTCCGCCGGTTCGCCCATATGCGTTTCCGCTCTACGACAGCAGCGACGTCGACGACGAAGCGTCGGCTGCCAGCTACAAGACGAACGCGACCGACGACACTGAATGCCCCTTTGCACCTCAAAACTACCACCAGCTCATGCAGCAGCTTCAGTTGTCGACAGTCGACGGGCGCGACGACTTGAGTGACTTCCACCTTGAGCTGAACGTCAACCACGGCCTTGACGACGACGACTTGGCCATCAGCGAGATTGGCACCGAGTTCCTGACGATGGAGCGCCCGACGCCGATCGTCGTCGTTGACCCGCCGCCGCCGAGTACGCCCAAACCACCGTCATCGTCCGGTCGGCATTTGCCGCCACCAATGCCGGCATCGATGAAAGCATCGCTCCTGGCGCGGCAGGCCGCCCTCCGGTCGAGCGAAGCGGCCATGAGCAATGTGAGCAGCTGTCTCTGGAAAGAGCCGACGTCGGCGCCGCTCCCGCCGCCGCCACCGTCGCTACCGCACTCGACCCGACGACTGCAATCGACGCAGAGCCAGTCGACGCCCAAGGCCGTGTGGGCACCGTCTCCGCCGCCCGTGGCCGCCAACGCAATGCGATCGCTCAAGGTTGACGAGAGCAGCGGCGACATCCAAGCGAGCCTTGCGCACCAAGCGTTTGCGCAGCTCGAAGCCGAGTGCCCGAGCACACCCGAGCGCACGGCGATTCTGCAGGCGCTCGTGACGACCTTCTCGTCGCTCTTGTCGCACAAAGAAGAGTCGGACTTTTGCGTTTTGAATCGATCAGACCATGCATTTGCGGCCGTGCTCCAGGCATACCCGTCGACGCTCAAGCTGCTGCAGCTGGCGGGCTACGCCATTTACCCCCAGCGCTGCGTGCTCTCGGACTTTGATGCGGTCTTGCTCACCAACCTCGTGGGAACGCTCAAGCGAATTCTCAGCGACCCCCAGCACCGCCACTCGTACTACTCGAGCCAGTGGTCGTTCTAGTTAGTACCCCACCATTTCTTTAGTCGCTCACGAGAGAGGTCGAGTCGTTAATGGATCGTCTCGATTTGATTGTGGTCTAGTCGACAATCTTGCGATTCGCAATTTTAGCGTTTGAGTGGCAAATGGTGCTCATGACGTGGCACATTCTTCTGCGAGAGTGCATACTATACGTGGCGATGTCGTCATCGTTCTTGCCATAGACAGGGGCACCGACCATCGTACTCCCTCCTTGGTGCCCCATTCCTTTGTTAATTAAGCTCTAGGACATCGGTGGTGCTAGTGTCAACGTCCCACCGCTGCTCCAAGTACCGAGTCGGCCTTGCCGAAGACATTTCGTGATATGGTCATTCGTGTTTTCATTATAAACGTCCTGCTACGTGTCATGCGGAGCGTCCGCTGCGTCTTTGACGTCGACCGAGTTGTTGTCCTCGACGTCGACCGAGTTGTTGTTGCTGCCATCGTCGTCGCCCGGCACCGTCTTGCTGCTAAGATCGTCAGCGCCATTGGGCGTGACGAACCGGTAGTCGAGCACGACCATGGCCATCTTGCGAAAGTGAGTGATGTAGCTCACGGTGCCCGAGACGCGGTACGTGAAGCGCTCAATGTCGAAGTTCTGCGGCACCTTGATGACCACATACTGCGTGCGACCGACGAGGCGTTCGCAGAGGTCGGCGAGCGGCGTCTCACCGAGGTGCAAGTCGACTGTCGACCGCGAGCGGTACTCGGGGCCACCCCACGGCGGGTCGATGAAGACCACGTCTTGGAGAAATTGCTCCGCCACGTCCACGTAACTGGCGCAGTAGCACTGGATGTTGACAAAGGTGAGCACGCCGTGCATGTTGTGCACGAGCATGCGGAAGCGCGTCGGGTCAATCTCGACGGCCTGCACGTAGCGAAAGAACGTGCAGAACGACGCCGTGTTGCCGCCGACGCATGCGGTCGCGTCCGTGATGACGCTGTTGGGCGTCAAGCCCGGGAGCGTCATGATGAAGTGCGAGATGCGCGCGGCCGTCTTCATGTCCGTGACGCTGTACTGGGCCACGTCGTCGAGCTGCAGCTGGCTGCGCACGGCGACCGGGAGACCGCTAAAGAGAAAATCGCGCTTGTCGACAGGATCGGACGACGCCTTGGACGCCTTCTTGTTGGACGGCTTGGCCTTAGCTTCAAGGGCCATTGGCTGCTCGTCGTCCGTGCTGTGGTTGTTGTGATTGTTGTTGTTGCTGGCGCCGAAGCTGCCCATGAGCGACTGCATGAGCATCATCTCGTTGGCGTCGAGGGCGCGTGCGACGGGCGGCGCGTCGTCGGCACTCGCCTTGGCTTTGGGCGGACGCTTCTTGCCCGCCTTCTTGGATGAGGTTGAAGTCGAGCCCGTCGAGGACGCTGTTGATGTCGACGACGTCGGCGACACCTTGAGCGCCGCCAGGTCGGTTGCGAGGCCGGCGTCGGCTTGGTTGGTGCGCTCGGCGGCGGGCTTGCGGCGCGGTCGGCCTGCCCGGGGCTTGCGCTCGTGTGTCATGGGCGTGGTTTCGCAAGCTATTTTCAGAGGGTCGGTGGCTGTGACGACAGCGGCCATGCTGCGTGGTGGTGTGCTATTTGCAGGTAGAGTTGGGTTGTTCCGACGCCGGCGGCCGTCGCTCGAGGACGAGGACGAGCGAGGACGTGGCTGGCAGCGGCCAAGTTGGGGACTTGCGCCGATTGGCCCGGGCCGGCCTCAAAAGAACGTGTCCTTCAAGCCAGGTAGAATGCGTGTCCTATGCCATCATTCCAAAACAATAGCGGTTTGAAAGAGGTTAAACGTGGTTTTTATTTTGATACTGCGCAATGTCCTTTAACAAGAGGTCAAAAGCCAGGGAAACCTACATTTCGGCGGTCGGGCCACCTCAACACGCCAGTTCGGTCGCGAGCGAAGATCGCAACACCGCGCGACAAGACAAGTCGTCTCGGACTGGCCACTGCACACATCGTCTGTCGAAATAATATCGAGGTCCACGGACCTAGGTCCCTGCTACCTGGGCTGACGCTGCAAGCGACAAGCGCACAAGGGACACCGTTGATGGTTGCCTTGGCTACTACTGTAGGCAAGTGTGTTTACTTTGCTCCAAGCCCAGTTGTCCCGGGATTCGGCGCATCGGGTGGCTAAATAAGAGCTAGCCAGACGCTCATACCAGACGCCTCTACTGGCGATCTCTGGTTAGCACTTCGCCGTGTCCTGGGCGCTTCCAAGGGGCAATAAGACGGTCTTATTGTCACTTGGTGCTGGCCGTGTAAATCGACTGGTGCCAATGGTCAGAGATGGCGTGCTTGGTGGGCGCGTTGCCGTCATAAGGAGGCGCCGCGGCCAGGACCCTCGGAGGTCCTTCCTTGTGACGCGGCGCAAGATGGTCCTGCTGCCATCTGGCGCAGCGGTTTCCGTGATCCGGTCGCATCGACTTTTGTATCCGGAGACCATGGTGGTCGTGCACGCCAAGGCGACGGGCAACGTGCAGCAGGTCATGTTCCGCCAGACGATCATCCGCGCCATGACCAAGCGGGGCATCACGGGCGGCGCGACGAACCTCAAGACGCCGGCGCGCGACACGGTCGAGATGACCCTGGACGGCGACGCCGCCACCATCCAAACCTTTCTGGACGCTTTGAGAACCACGCAGCCGCTCAATAGCTGGGGCGCCCGCGTCGACGCGCTGGTCGTGCTACCGACAGGCCGCGCTGTGCAGGAGCACCAGGTACTTGCATGGGTGGGCGCTGTATGGTGTATGAATTTGACGTTAGGTCACGACCACCAACGTCGACGAGCGCAACTGGAACCCGAACGTTGAATTTTACATTTGAATTCGTATTTTGCACGCTGCTTCCATCAATACAATATGACAATGTTGTGCATTCTCTATTGCATTTTCACACAAATAATGCTGTACGCAGTGTCGATCGTGGCGGGCTGAGGGTGTATGCTCCAACGTGGGTCTGTCTCTTGGCCAGTACTCATCTAAAACGGTGGCGTCCACGGTGCGACAGCAGCAGGTTCGCAGTCATTTAACACTGAGAAGACACCACGGTGTGGCCCCTAGAGCCTCGATTCGCGTGTCTTGAACGAGGCTATCGGCTCGCTGGATACCCAGGTCCGCGTAGTTCAACCCGCATTCACATGGGATCTTTCTAGCTCGATAGTCGAACTTCTCGTGGTCAACGTCCAAGGTCGCCAAGAACCGAGGTAGACTGAAACCAAGAGGTAGTAGCCCTCTTGACTCTCGGGGTTGTCGGCTTCTTGGGGGTTAGTCGTTGTTCTCGTGCTCGAGTTCGAGGTCGCGGCCGCTGGCGCGCGATTTGACCGCATCAAGCTCGACTTTTGCGGTCAAATCACGGTGCGACCCTAATCCGAGCAGCTCCTTTCGCACGTCACCATTTACCAGGGTCGGGCGCACGCCACCGCGGCTTCAAACCCCGAGGACCTTCTTCTCGCCGACAACGAAGAGAGCTCGACGTGCGATGCCACCGACTTTGGTTTCTCGGTGATTTTTAGGGGAAGATCATTTGGTTCGCTCCAATTCTCGGTAAACAATCTCATTTTACTACTAGACATAACAGCACGGGCACGTCTGTGTTCTTCTTTGCCGACAGTGCGATCCGCAGCGCAGTGGTGCCTCTAGTCTGATTGAAGAACGGTACCATGCGACCGACTATCTGTGCGTGACTAAAATACCCGTATTGAGCTAGAACCAGTTGAATGACACAAGCCACAAGCGAGGAACAAACTGCTCCGTGTACTGTCCAACGTTGTGCTATTACATGTCGGAGTGCGTCATGATCCAAGCATTCGCCATTCGCATATCGAAAGGAGCTCCTGTCCGACAAAGCGCTCTCAAAATGGTACTCGGCAGCTCATGCGTCCAAATAGGTCCCTCAACGAGCAAGCAGTCGGTTCACGGTGAGCTCTCGTCGTCGATTTTAATGGTGTGCACGTGCAGTAGGTGACTGTGCAACGAGAGCGACGGCATCCAACCGCTCCCTAGACAAGTGGATGACGTGGGCAGCGTAGGCCAAAATCCATACAAGACCTCCTGGAGCGACCTCTTGTAATATGTTGCTATAGTTGGAAGAAGTTGCAAGTCAACAAGCACAGCGCCGCCGGCAAGCCAACCTGAGCTGACGCAAGCGATCCTGTATCCCATGCAAAGGTATGTACCTCGTTCACCACCAAAGGAAACGTCTGTGCTCGTCTTTTGCTAGCCAAGCCGCTCCGCAGCGTCGCCCAAGAACCCGACCAGGTCGTCGACGAAACACTTGATCTTGCTAGTGGTCAGCAGTGCACCCCCGTGGGTTAGGCCATTGAAATCCAACTGTAGAGATCCTCGCGATTGCTGGGGCGAGGGGTTGGGTACGATGCTGTGCAGAACGTATGAGAAACGACGTCACTCCTTCCAGTAGCGCCAGCGATGGCGCCTACGTGCAGCGACGGTTCGATCTTGGTGACGTGATCCGTGCCTTCGTGGTTAGGGTACGACGCTTCGAACCGGAGACGACGAGAACCAGCGCGTCACGCATATCATGTTGATTAGGCGCTTGCTTTGGTCGATGCATCGTCCGTAGCAGCCGCCAGAGCCTTCTTGTGCGCGATGCAGTAGCGTTCGGGCACGTCGGTTTGGACAGTGGTCGCGGCCAGGAGCTTTTTGCAGCCAACAACCGAGCACACGCTGCGTCGCCGGTGCAAGTCGCAGAGACCGCCGCCGCGGTCGGTGCGCGTACAGTCTGCCGCGCTGCAGAGGCGTCCACCGTCGTGCTTGGCGCATTTGCCGTGTCGCTGAACTCCGTTCGGGCAGCCGGCGACCGCGCAAATGCGAATGCCGCCGTGGGCGCGGCAGTAGCCGCCACTTTGCGCGCTCTTGTCGCACTCGTCCGCCTTGCAGCGCGTGCCGCCGCCATGCGCTTTGCAGAGGCCGCGCGATTGCACCGGGCGGACGCAGTCGTCTGCCTTGCAGCGCTTGCCACCGCCGTGGGCGATGCAGTACCGACCGCCTTGCGGATTCTTCGGGCAGTAGGCAACGCTGCAGCGCCGAGTGCCGCCATGCGCCTTGCAAAAGCCTCGGTACGTGATGGCGGTGCTGCACTGCGCGGCGAGGCACTGGCCGTGGATCTCCTTGGGCGGCGATAACTTACTGCGAGCGCGGGATGCCTTGGTGGCGGCGGGCGGACCCGCAAACGACGGTGGCGGCGGCGCCAAGTCGAGCAGAGCCGACCAGACCGCTTCGTCATGGTCGCTGGGTGGCGGCCATTGCAGCGCCAGCTGCAGTCGGGGTTGCGGCCGCGCAGCATCGTTCCTATATGGTGGTGTATCGCTCAGAAAGCACGCACGACTACGGACTCCGCACCCGTCGTCCTTGGCGACTACCGATGAGCCGGACGTCTCGTCATAGGCCTCGGCCTTGGGCGACCGGCTGCTCTCGCGGTTAGCCATCCTTAGGTCGCTCCAAGAAGGCAAAAATCGGCAGTCAGTCGCGAGATATAATGCTGTGTAACGCGGACGCCTCATCCACGCAATTGTCATCTGTTTCTCCAACAGTGGCCACGACGGCAGCAGCAATCACGACAGGAATCGACCGGCGAGTCGAGAGCATGCAAGAGCTCGAGCCAAGGTCCCTCGTCTCGTCAAAACAGAGAGAGGACGTGCCGATAGGTCGGGCGACGTGCCACTTTGGTCCGCGACGGCATCGGAAGAACGATGATGCTACATATTGCGTTTTTCAAAAATATTGCTTTCGTCGAATGCACTGGCATCAAACACACGAGCCCGTGCAAGGGTTTAGAGGTCGTTGAAGGCAGTGCCAAGCTAGGGATGGCAAAGAGAGGGTCTACAGACCTCGTTGGGATGCACACGGCCACAGAGGAGCCGATACAACAGTGCACCCATAAAGATGCGGCCGATGACAACCCTTCAAGTCGCCGTCGCCAAAACCCCGTGCGTAGCTTTTCGGAGGCGATGATTGGTATAAGCCGAAAAACGATCAATTCGGTGGATCGGACGTCCGCGTTTGTATGGCGGTGCGTGTGTGCAGCGGAGTACGGCTGTCGCATGTGACCCTCGGATGTCGGGGAAAGCTGTCTCTTGGCCAGTACTGACCTGATCTGTTGCATTAAAAGTACGGTCGGCCCGCGCAAAAGGTTCAAGGCGGTGGGCACTTTGCCGGGTGCGGCTGCAAGCGTGTGTCGTATCCAAGGTAGCTCCTCGGCTACGAAGCGACGAGGGATCACACTATAGAGGGCAAGACGATGCGCGCGGGTGTCCACGCACCAGTCACAAGCTCGTAGTGCTCGCATAGGCAACTCTCTTTAAATGCAATATGGCGGTCGTAGGTCTTGCGCGAGGTTTTCCGGGTCGGTGAGAAGGCGGGGCGAGTTCGCACCTACAACCCTAAACCCGGTTGGTGCGATTTGAGACCACATGGCTCGAGGATGCTGCGTACACTGCGTGACCATTCAGAGTCCCTGTCCATTTCACGGTAGGAGCGCTTGACTGTGGCTCGCTCAAACGAGCTTACCTCATACTGCATCATCTCTACTCTAGCCATTGAATTTTGAGTTCAACCGTGCAGATCCGTGCTGGGCGTCAGCCGACAACATCCAACTTGTGCGGACCCAGTGTTTGGCTACTGTTGCGCCGCAGACGTACGTGGCAACATACACAAATTCAAATGCCTCGCTGGCCTTGACGTCTCGGTCGGTGAATGCAGACGTTCTGGTGCACGCATGGTCGCCCTCCACATCGCCGTGCGCACCAGGGCATTCGAACACTTCCGTCAAGAATGACCTTTATTGTTTTGTGATACACAAGAGCGAGGATTGCTTTGGCTATCGTTCTAGGGCATACGTCCGGTGTCCATGACATGGTGCTTGAGCTTGAGCGACGCGACATGCTTCTTCAGCCGTTCTACGACCTGCACGGAGTACACGTCTACGCGACCAATGCTCCCGCACTCATCGGCATCGTCGGTTTATGTACACACCCTACTACGACTTTGACTGCGCCCTTGTAGGCGCAGATTCTCGCGCCACTTCGTCAAAGTGCGGGCATTTGATGCAGACACCGACGAATCGTCACACGAAGTTGATTGAGCTCTCGGCCAAGCTAAGAACTTATCCATTTTAGTCAATACACACTTCCGGTGCCACCGCGCACTGTACACCAATCGACTGCAAGTGCCGAATGAAGCAGTCGAACCAGTACCGTGCGCCAGTTACACTGTCGCCGCACGTAGGTCCATGTAGAATCCAAGTTCCGACATCGTACACCACTTTCTTGGCGATTCTGACGAGATTAGACGAGCATTTGTGCAGCCACCTGTAGGGTGCGAGGTCGTGGCACATGAACCAAGACAACACCCTACTAGTACAACTCTCGCAGTCGACGATCTCTGACTGGATGCCTTCGTCAGCAGACAAGGTTTGTCCACCGCACAACTTCGCTGCGTCCTGGGGTAGCACCAATGACTGTTCTACCGCGGTCGCAATACGACCCGTCCATCTCCCGCCACGCCGCTCAGGACGCGTGGGTTGTTTGCACCGGACGATGGACCAAATGCAACTTGCGGAAATGACAGCCTCCAGGTGTGTCTTTTGATTTTCTATGTATCAACAGCTCTATGACAGGGGCCGCTTGCTCTGGCCGAATAGAGCCCACTGGGCACGATGCACCATGCAACCGCACAGAGCATGAGCGCAGCGCTGTATCTCTACCTGCTGGTCATATACCGTGCAAGTCGGATAGGCGCAGCAAGCCGTGCCACCACTCGCACTGGAGCCAAACGCAATGCGTTGTTCGGTCGCCCGTGCCGCCACGGGGCTGTCTCCACCCTTCTACTAGTACCTCCTTACCGAGGCTTGGCGATTGTAGGCGATTGTCCAGATCACTTTTTCCGTGCGTCTAGAGCCAAATACCTGACAAAGCTGCATTCGAACGACGAGCGGCAATCGTTGTCACTGGACTCAACAAAGGACGACGCAAGACGCCCACGAACCCTTTGCTGGTCGCGGCATGCCACGCAGCCGCCATCGCATATGTAAGCATCTGTCTCCGGGCAGTTCGCCATTCTTGGCGCTATGATTGAAGGGAATGTCAAACATTCGCAAGTGCCGCCGTCACTGCACTCTTGCAAGGATATCAAATTTGTGCTGGGCTCAATTCCGCGGCCAAGTTGAAGCTCCACCGCCGTTCAAGCGCGCGGTTGCAAAAAGTATCTTTCCGAGCTCGCCAATGGAATCATTGTCTTGGTGTAGACGCGGATTTGATTGGGTCCTTTTTGGCGAATGATCCGCCATAGGACAAAAACAAGTGGCCGTACGACAAGATACGAAAGCAATACTTCAAGTTCTGCAGTGTGTGTGGAATCATTAGAATAG